CATTTCGATAACCTATCTCAATCTGACATTTTGTTTACTTGGAGCAAGGCGAAGTGGCCAGAACCAGTAAAAGAAAAAAATAATATCACAACCAGTCTTATAGCTTTTCAGTTAAAACTCATAGCAAAAATGAACGTCGCCTATATAAGTTGTTAGCAGTTACCTTCGCAAAGGTCTCGTACTCAAAGAGTGCAGCATGGACATTTTGCTCGATGGTGAGGGAGCTTTGAGCATTCGCGAACTCAGTGAAAGTCGTAAGACTAAACCTTTTGTTCCTCGATTGTATTCTTGCAATGTGGCGATCTTTAAAAAACAAGTCATAACAAGTCAGTTTGTCTTAGCAGCAAGATGTAAAATGTGAATCCTTATCTTCTGAAGCTGCCTTTAGCTCCTTAAAAAGCCCTTGAAACGTTCTATTCTTCACTCATTAGATTTGACTGATGGATTTCAAGCGAGCTGCAACACCAAACGAGTAAATGAAACCAAAAAATATTGAAGCTGCAGTACAGGACAGTACTAGACACGCGCAAGTATTAAACTGTACACCATTCCTAGTTAGTAGTCATAGTTAAGTGAGCGAAACTACATATCTTAGTACACAGCATAATAGACAGTTAACAGTTCATAGACAATTCAGATTTTAGACTTTTGCTTGGTTCGCAAAGCGATCTTATGAGATTCAATCATAAACTCGTTCAATTGATACCACAAGAGCATACCAATTCTCTAGTGAACATGTTGACTTGCTCAGGTCCTCTTAAGAAAAATGTATTACCTGTCATACATTCCTACTAATGGATCAAAGCTGTTATTTGTTGGTTGCTTGCTTGAGAGACGTAGGTGAAGATCTTAACCGCAAGCGGTTTGAGCTATTAAGCGGGCTAATTATGCATACCCGTGCATCCCAACAATGAGTTAGCAAAGAAGTTCGTTCGATTTTACTTCTAAATTCTTCAAATATTTTCGAAAGCTGCTATTTCGAGATTGTTAGTGTTTATCTCGCTGCTGTCCGCAAAGGTGAAGTGTCTTTTTCTACTACGATATGGAGAGGCAGGAGATAATGTTTTTTTTTACATTTTTTTGTGCATAATTTTTATTCTTTTAATGTGCGTCAGTATGTAAAACATTCTTTTAAAACACTCTGATTTATTTAAATAAATTTTATTAAATCAAAAACAGACTTAAAAAAGCTTTAGGAATCCTAATTAAAAGTTCAAAATAAAAATAACAGTATTATTAGTTTTGAAACGTCAACTTATGCGACTACTAAAATTATCAAATGTCAGCGGTAAAAAAAATCCTATATTACAACAAAGTATCGCTTTGAAAATAGTCCAAAATAAATCAGCTTAATATCGCTTAAAAATGCTTAGCACCACAATACATAAATGTAGCGAACAAGTATTTGCAACACCAAAATTTTCCATATACACCGACATTTCATTACTTAAAACAGAAAAATGCCTAAAAGCATGCTTCATTATGGCACGCAAGCAGCAGCAGCGTCACTACTTAACTTGAATTTTTGCTCTCTTATAGGCCCTGTCCCGGCGGCCTAACGCCTAACGACGTTATAAGAAAAATACCAACAAATAAAAGTGGCAGGGAAAATTCAAGCGATCGTCAAGGAAGAAACATTTAAATATGCTAAAGGAGAAGCAAAGTAAAAATAAAAACAGGAAAATAACTAAACAAAGGCAAGAAAGACGGGCAACAAATCGCCTTCGCATATTAGCTTAGATGTCAATCCCTAAGTAGGCACATGTATTTACATGTCATAAATGTGTACATATATATATAAATATTCAAGTGTATATAAGAGCATTTCCGTACGCTTATAGGTATTCATATTAAAAAAATTAAGAAAAATACATGAAAAGGAAACCAAAAAAAAAAGCACATCAAAGCTGATTGTTTCTGAGCTACCAGCTTTGCGAGCGCCTAACGCCGTCCAAGCGGTAAAAATCCAAATGAGCACATATTTGCCTGAATATGCAGAGCAGTAGTGAAGGCGAGCATGTCCAGAGGCGTAGCAGCTGTCACAGGCCGGCTGCTGAGTTGCTGCTGTTACTCTCTATGCGGATGTGTATGAGCATTTTCTTCTGAGTGTGTGTTTGAGTATGCATGTTGGCGAGCTGCTAAGCCGATTAGTAGCATAGCGTATAAATATATTGTTGTCGTCATGCGTGTTCATAATATTACGCGCATCGAGCACTTTCTACTCCTCCCCTCTGCTCTGCACTAAACTTCTACTCTTGTTTGGTTTAGCGTGTTCTATACCTTGAACCGCCTTGAGCAGCGCTTGTGAAACAAAGCGTATACAATACGCTTCCATGTGATGTGACATTTCTGGTTGGTAGTGTTGGCATTTCGCTTTTGTTTTTATTTTTATTTTTATTTTATTTTTTGCTTGTGAATTCCTCCCACCAGCTGATGCCTTGTACTTTCACTTATTGGTTGTTTTTTTTTATGTTTTGCTTGTCTTAGTCTCATATCAGCTTTAGTTCTTTTATTTTGGCATTTTAATTTGTTTGCTTTGACATCTTCACGCAACTGACCGTTACTTCCCTTTGCTGGTTTTGTTAATGAGCAGGGGCTTTTTCAATTGACTACTCTCTGCCTTCTCTTTGTTTAGTTTGTCTCAGTGTCTAGATTTATTAGGGCTCAGTTTTTTTGGGATTTGTTGGTAGGATATTCTATGTTGATTTAAGGCTAACAAGATTTATTAATGTCCATATTGAAAGAAAATATGTAATTATATACTTAACAACAAATACATATGAACATACATACTTACAAAAGCGTTGCCAGCTGGTCTAATAGGAGCTCTTTAATTTCTTATGCGGAGAAATGTGTTCAGCTTTAAGCAGCAAATTTTGTAACCCGACTTAATTTGCAAATTCCGAATCAAATGGGACGGCAAAGTCTTACAAAATATAAGCTGAAATTTTACCAAAAAAGAGTTCAAAGCCTTGCCTAGTTTCATAGAATCAGCTCTTTTGATGTTGCACAGATGTCCCATTTTATGTGAATTTAGTTGGTTGCCGTCTTTTCCGAAGATTTTGGAAGATCCCATTTTTTGTTCCTGATATACATAGGCACCACTCCCGTAGTTACAGACGAGTCAGTCGTAGTGCGTCGTTTGTTTTATCTTGACCATACATTAAGCGTGAAGTCGGATCCACTTTTCCTATTAGTTTTCCAACGGAGTGAAAATCTACCTTTTGCTCCGCTTTCAACGTCGGGTTCCACGTCCAAAAGTTTCAAATCCAAATCGTTGCCACTCATATGACCGACGTCAGCATAACCGTTTTGGCATCATTCGCTGTACTTTTATAATATCCCCATAAATAGTATCTCATAGTACTCATCGTTCCATCTTCTGCGTGTTGCTAGTGCCCAAATGGCTATACATCTTTCGTAAAAGCTCTATATCGAAAACTCTTAATACTCATTAGATGTTACCATTGTTTGACGATTCGTACCATACTGAAGGACGAGAGTAATGAGCGACTTCTGGAGTTTGACCTTCGTTCGTCGCGAGAGAATTTTACTTTACAGTCTAAAGTATGCTAACCCCTGCAAGCAAGTGTATTTCTGTGCTCAATTTCATGGATATATTATTCCTTGAATTCATTATGCATCTTAAATAGACGAATTTGGCTACAACTTAAAAGCTATGATTGTTATAAGTGGCGTGGGTAGCTTGAAAACAAGCTGGCTCTTTGTTCAATGAGAGCAGATATTTCGAAAGCTTCTCGCTCTCTATTAGACGCATTCGCCACACTACGTCGTGCAGTCTGGAGAGAAGTAAAGATCACATGGCCAAAAACTGATAGTTTCTTCCTTCGCTGCCTGTGTACACGATCTTGGCGATCTCTTCGACTGTTAATTCATTCCATCTAGCGCTGATGCCTCTTTGAGTTTTTTTGGGGAAATTTTTTGTAAATAATCTTGACACTTTTTGGTGTTTATAGTTCCAATTCAGTCGCTAGACGAATTGCATTTCGTCGATCTCATCAACAATTTCGTTTCCCACAACTCCCTTGTGGCTACGAACTGAGTACGTACAGCGGTCAGCAGTTTTCCCTGGCTGAAGAAAATATTGGAATTATCTTAGTAACATTTAAATTGCTACTAAAGGCGTTCTGCCACAGATAGGTCGCCTTAAAGAGGGTACATAAGCTAACTTGCTACTAGTCGTGGCAAACTTAATCGGAATGATATCGAAGAGGTCGAAACACGGATGTTTTCAGAAACATCGTGGATATTTCAAAGGTAATTGGATTACTGACGAAAAAACTGGCATCCAAAGAATACAAGGTGTCCCTTAAATAAGATGAATTAGATGCTGTCGTAATGACGGAGAGAACGAGCTAATTATTTTCAAAGATTGTGCAATTGTCTTGCTTTAAGCAGCTGTAAACTTCGACGTATTGGAGTTGCTTACATAGATAGCCTTTGCAGTGCGGCAGAAACTTCAGTAAAGGCAGTTGAAGTGGATAGATAAGAAGCCGTAGGTTTAGAGAAAAATTTTGTATGGTATCATAATAGATTCACCTTGGTCTAAATGTGTCATTGTTTATACTCCTACTATTTTCTCTCAACACTTTTTATAATAACTGGCTGATAATAATACTATAATGCTATACAATGCTCCCTTCCGCTTTTCCATTGAATTAATGTATTAATTCCTAAAATATTCTCAATTAACTCATTGAGTGTCTGTGTGAACAGCTTTCGAGTGACGCGCTTAATGATTGCTAATAGAATAATTTTTAAGGAGTCTCTGCTGATAGGTTTTAGTCACGAACAATACAGTTTCTTCAGAAATGTGTGAAAACTCACTATACATTACGGTGCGCCCTAAAGATGTACGCTCCACACCAACTAAGGTTGTGTTCTAATAAATTTCAGAATCTTCCAAGTTTTTTTTTATGGTAAAATTAAAAGAACCCCTCTTATTTAAGACTTCAAGCAAAAGTAAAAAAAAAGTATACTTAAGCACTCATATCTAATTTTTTGGGGCTTACACATCATAATTATATTACAAATTTAATTGGAGCAGTAGTTAAATATAATATATATGCATATGTACAAAGAAGTATTGAGAAATAACATTAATAAATAATAAAGTATCCGAACCGCGGTTTTTCAGGCCAGGTAAGTCTCTACTGAATTCCGCTGTTGACTTACTTCCTACGCTCCTCCTCCTCCTTCGCCTCCACCTCCTCCTCTATATCTTCAATATTTTCCTCGCTGCCACCCTCCTCCGTGCCGAGCATACGAGCGCACAACATCATACCAAAACTATATTCGCATGGATCATCCTCCATATCATTAGCAGCCTTACATTCTAACATACTTTCATAGCTTGGATCAGTTAGTATGCCCACGTCATGCATATACTCCACATTCAATTTGCCATTTTCATCCAATAATCCCATGCCGAACAGCAGACAGTGGGCATAACATTTGAATTTCATCTCCACCTCGTCGGCGTCGGGCTCGTCGGGGAATTCGTCGAGTTCTTCCATGGTTATGTTGTGCTTCACCTGGCAAGCCTCCATGAAGCTACGTGTTGATGCTGTCGGTGACTAATTAGGGCAAAGAAAAACGGAGAGAGAGTTTTTTTGGTTGGATTATTTGAAAAATGATGGGATAGAAAATAAAATCAGTAAAATTAGCTCGCTATATAACATTATAAAAAATATATAAATATTTAAAAAATTTTCTTTTGTAATATTATTTTGTTTTTGTCAAAACACTGAAGATAGTTAAAAAAACAACTAAACTTGATATTCTGCATAAAAAATATATGTCGACAGAGAAATTTTTTCAAACCGAACCACTAAAACAACCAACTCCCATATAAGTATTGATTCAAAAATATATTTTCGAGTCATAACTTCCATAAATGGCTGGCCAGGGGTCTGAAATGTGGCAGTTAGTCAACATATTGTGAGTAAAATATGGAATGTTAATGTCGCGAACATAATATGAACACAACATGGAGCTGTCATACAATCGATGGTTCAAAAATGCATTTTTGGCTTCAAATTTGCATATTTTGAACTGTTTGAAATTTGAAATTCTAGGTACTAAATATATGATGTGTGAGCATATTAGGCAGTGAAAATCAACAAAATCTGACCACCCTAATATATAGCTGCCATACGACTAAAATTTCAAAAATTTGTTTTTGAGTTAAAGCTAACAAATTTTAAACAGCTTCAATTTTGAAACTTTGGGTACTAAAAGTAAGTTTTGTGAAAAATATATACAGTGAAAATCATCAAAATCTGACCACCTTAATCTCAAGTTTTCTAACAATCGGTGGTTCAAAAATGCAGTTTCGGCTCAAAACTTGCTTAGTTTAGGTAAAAGGGTTGATTCTTTCAAAAATTCAGAAATGTTGGTATTGAAAATCATTAAAAACCTCTATGCTATAATTTATGGCTGTGGAGTAAAAGTAACATATTTATATTTAAATAAATAACAATGCAAAATTATTGAAGTCCTCTTTAGACATTTCTAAAAACTATTTGAATACAATTTTCACATCCACTCACCGCTGCCACCTTGTCTATGGGTAAAAAGAACATCAAAATCGCCGCCAGCAGCACCAACCAAGTGAGTCCAGGTAATGACATGCCTCTGCCATTGCTTGCAAGCATCATTTCACTTTTTGTTGTTGTATTTTTTCCAACCTCTCCAAATTGAAACATTCTCAACAAGTTTTACAACAAAAAAAAATCGAACAGTAAAATACAAAAAAAAAAAATTACTTTAAAACTTGTTTTTTAACAACAAATTCGCGAACACTGAAAATATTCCAAAAAAAAAAAAAAATCGGAAACTGCAATTGCCACTGCCACTAGACGACTACGATGACTGTGAAGCTGCTACTTGCCGTGTTCAATGCGTTTTTTCGCCTGTTGGCTGGCAAGTGAAATGATTTTTTTTACACAAATGAAAAACTTTCGACGCCGTTGCACATTTTTATATGCGAAAAGTTTTGATTCGTTATTGTTTTCCCCGTCACCGCCGCAGCCACCAGCAGCAACAACTGCGTTTTTACAGCAATAAAAATGCAAACTCAATAAAGAGAGTCGGATAAAAATTAAAAGTCGCGTTTGTTAGCGCAATTTCGACACAAACACCTTTGCACCGGCATCCACTGCTGCGCCGCGGCCGAAAATGCTGGCGTTGCTCCTTGACTTTGCGTGTGTGTTTGTGTTTGAGTGTGAACACTAACTACCGCAAATAATGGAAGCTTCATAATTTAATTACACTGATTCCGGTTGCAGATAAACGTTGCATTCTGTGCCCTCTACCCCTACCGCTCTCACTCTCTCTCTTGCACACACTCCATTTACAATAGCAACAATGTGAAAGGCAAATGTGTTCTGATTTTCATCGCACTCGAATTAATTGCAATTCAGATTTAAAATTATTGTAATTATTTTGAGTTTTGAAGTTGATAAAGCAATTAAATCTTTTCCTGAAAAATGGGTTTTACAAATATGGTTTAGGCATGCGATTTGATTTAGCTTTTGTAACTTGATGCTGGTTTTAAATGAATAGTACTTTTTACTTTCGTTGTTTTTTTACATCGTTATTTATGCATAATAGTCATATTCTGGCATCGATCTCTAATTTATTAAGATCGTTATTTTAGGTTTCATAGCGCCCAAAAGTCTGCAATAAAAAATGAGTTTTAAGCAATCTAAGGGAAAGCACAATTTGAAAATTTTTCTCTCCCCACTTTGGCGTAGCCTTAAGTAAAATAATATTACCTAATTAACAAGTACTAGAATGGGTCTCTAGAAAGGTAACTCATAAACCATTGTTTTATAATATATCAATTTTCAAAATTTTATTGTATTAAAATTAAAGAACATTTTCATAAGTTGTATTCAGATCCCAACGATACCAAACAGATCTCACGCCAAAAATGAGCACTATGAATTCATTGTACTAAAATAAAATAAAATAGTATTGGGTTGCCCAAAAAGTAATTGCGGATTTTTCATATAGTCGGCGTTGACAAATTTTTTCAACAGTTATCAGCTGTTGCTTTAAGCTTGCCTTAGAAAAAAAGTGCGCGAAGTTTTGTTTACATTTGTTTGTTTGGCGTCAATTTTAATATGGAGCCCACAAAGGAGCATTTTCGTCATATATTACTTTATTATTTCCGTAAAGGAAAAATCGCGGACCAGGTTGCTAAAAAGTTACGAAATGTGTATGGTGATAAAGCCTTAAAAGGAAGACAGTGTCGAAATTGGTTTCGCAAATTTCGTTCTGGAGATTTTGCACTTAAAGATGAGCCACGTTCAGGTCGGCCAAATGAAGTTGATGATGACCAAATCAAAGCATTAATTGAATTGGATCGTCATGAAACTGAGTGTGAGATAGGAGAGAAGTTAAATATACCAAAATCAACCGTTCATTATCACATAAAAAGTCTTGGACTGGTGAAAAAGCTTGATATTTGGGTACCACATGTATTGAAAGAAATTCATTTAACACACCGAATCAACGCTTGTGATATGCACCTTAAACGCAATGAATTCGATCCGTTTTTAAAACGAATCATAACTGGAGATGAAAAATGGATTGTTTACAACAACGTTAGTCGAAAACGATCATGGTCCAAGCATGGTGAACCAGCTCAAACCACTTCAAAGGCTGATATCCACCAAAAGAAGGTTATGCTGTCTGTTTGGTGGGATTGGAAGGGTGTCGTATATTTTGAGCTGCTTCCAAGGAACCAAACGATTAATTCGGATGTTTACTGTCAACAATTGGACAAATTGAATACAGCCATCAAGGAGAAGCGACCAGAATTGGTCAATCGTAAAGGTGTCATATTCCACCAGGACAACGCTAGACCGCACACATCTTTGGTCACTCGCCAAAAACTGAGTGAGCTTGGCTGGGAACTTTTGATGCATCCACCATATAGCCCTGACCTTGCACCATCAGACTACCATTTATTTCGATCTTTGCAGAACTCCTTAAATGGTAAAACTTTCGGCAATGATGAGGCTATAAAATCGCGCTTCGTTCAGTTGTTTGCAGATAAGGGCCATAAGTTCTATGAGCGTGGAATACTAAATTTGACAGGAAGATGGCAAAAGGTTATCGAACAAAATGGCAATTATACATTTGATTAAAGTTCATTCTAAGTTTTATGAAAAATGCATTTTTTTTCACATAGCGACCTAAAATATTGGGTCTAGTAAAGCGCACGAAGTTAAGCCAATCCTCGAAATACTCTGCTCATCAATATTTGCCGTTGCCAAAACTTTCTTTCGAAGACCTCTATAGTCTATAAGGCTTAAAGTTCGTCGAGAGAGGACTCAGCTGCCCCCTTTTGGTTATTTCTTTAAGTCGCCGCATCATTTCATAGAATTTACGAGCATTATCGGTATTTGCCAGCTTTTTATGCTCTTCATACTCACACATTTCGGCCACTCTCCCTATTTAAGTTTGCTTCTCTCTTCTGCTTCCGATAACTCTTCTGCATAACATCGACCAAACAAAACTTCGTGCTTGTCATTAGAAGGTTACCAATCAAATTGCTCGAACGAGTTAACGAAATTTGTCCAATTGAGACGTAGCAGCGGCAAAAAATTGAAAAAGATAATCTTCAAAACATTAATGCAAAAGGATGTTTTTCTAATAATTATAAACATTCCGTAATAAATTTGAGTTTTCTATATTTTTTTCTTTAAAAAAGTAGGGAAGTAAGAAATACCTCTCTCTTCTTATTTCAACTAACGGTATCCCTCCAGCATGGCACGCGCTGTGTTCTACTCTATATCGCTTATTACTGTATTTATTTATTTAGTTATTTATTTTTATTATTTATTTATTTATTTTTTTGCTATTTGATTGATTTTTTTTTTTTGAATTTTTATCCTACTTTTTTCGCCATATAAAATGGAGTTTTTCACTCAAATTTACATTTACTTTAACCCGGAAGTGTACCAGCAACCAACATATAAACATATAGACATTTACTGTTAAAAGCAAAAATTTATGGGATTCAATAATTCATACGTTTTTCATGATCAATATGCCACAAAAGCATCAAAGCAAAAGAAGGGGAAAAAATAAAACTCAATTCCAAGCATAATTTTTTGCTTCCCCAACAGCTTACGCTGTTTTATTTTCTCAAAGCGATTAATGCTTTCTTCTGCGCTTAGCGGCGTTAGTGGTGCTCACTCACTCACCTTTTCATCCACTTGACGTAATTACCGCCATTCATTCTTTCATTCATTCATTCATTCGTCTGCCATAGAAGTAAAGGTTAACATATTTTACTGCTTTTCAAATTGCTTGGAACTTATATATGCATGTCTATAGAAAACATATATATAAATATATATATGTATGTTTTCAAAACTTCATTTTTTCTACCGCTCCCATTGAAGCCATACATACAAACACCACAAACGTCAAAGTCAATGGCCAGCCATTAGAGAGTTGATGTACTACTTGTAGTTGCAACTTGCAACTTGCAACTAACATTTGCCACTAACATTTGCTGCAGTGTCCTGCTGTAATAAGTATTTTTGCTTTTGTTTTTGTTTTTGTTTTTGCTTTACTGTTTTCATCATGGTATTTACAACTTCAAGTGGGGGTAAACAAGTTCTCTCTAATAATGCTCATAAGCACAGACGCATACACATTTACACGAACAATTATACGTGTGAGTGCATGTATGTATGTGTATGTGTGTGTGATTTTATGCGTTGCATAGGAAAAAGAAAATTCTGAAAAGTTACAATTTTGCAGCAAACATCAGTGCAACAGCGCATAAAACTTTTCACCCCAACGTTTGCACTCACACACACACCCACACTCATTCATATACTTCAAAAAATTTATGTGTATGGCTTGGCTTATGTTTTAATGTACGTGTGCGTATGTGTGTGCTGAATTTTGAGGTTGCTTACTTTTCATTACTCCGGTTTAGTGCCTCGGCATTAGTTTTGTTTGTGTTGCAGCTGCTGTTGCATTTGCTGCTTTAATTGTTGTTGTTGTTGCCATTAATTTTTGTTGCTTTCAGCTGTTGCCTGTATGCTTTGTGTTAGCCAAAGCTTTGCCTGCCTCTGACTCTAAGCTAAATATTTTCCAACACTTCCGCACAGCTGTACACAAATACATTTATTAAGCGCACACACACACAAATATTTCCACACATACCTACGCACATAAAACTGACGACTCAGTTGTGTTAAATGTGAAAAGTCTGTAATTAAGCTCAAAGAGCGGAGAGTGTGTTAATTATGTTATAGTGTGACCTAAATTTTATTTTTCCAAAGGCGTTTTTTCAGTCTCAGCTGAGCACTTTTATTTTGCCTTTAAATATGTGAGTACACACAAAAAAATATCTATATTTTGAATTTGTGTTTCAAAAAAAAATAACTAATAAAAAAAATTATATTTTATTTAGAGCTATTTTGACAGCAGTCTAGTCGTCTATGTCCCTCGAAAGTGTTAAACATGTAGCGTCTTCACTGCAACTACTGGAGTTTGAGACAAGTTTTTGCTTTCAAAATGCATTTGGAGCAAGTCCTGTCAGAGCTTGCATTCATAAAACCCATTTTAATTATTACAACGGCTTAATGGTGAGTAGTACATGATATCAAGCTGGGAGTCATACCTTTGAAACTCAGCACTGAAACAATGAATGCACACTGCTCCGAGTGTATTTTCTGTGTGACATGCAGCACCAACTTTTTGAAACCACATCTTAGCCAAATTAAGCCTTTCCGATTTTATTCCATCGGTTCATAACTCAATAGCAAACACTGGCTTTCTCGAGACGCCTGGTGGTTCCTGAAAAGCATGCGATTGTTCTTCACTTCAAATGTGGCAAGTTTGATTATTCAAATATCCATTCGTCGCTGAAGACAATCTTTGAATAAAAATACCGATCTTCAAA